CGCGGCGCGGCGCGATGCAACGCAACACGTAAAAAGACCGTATAAGTCATTATAATCCATAATTATGTCCCCACTGGATGCAACAAATGCCTCGTTTATAATGGGTTTTAATGTTTTTGTCTCTTCGCTTCGGCAGGGACACGGCATCACAGTATGGTGAGGGGCGTAACATTTCCGTCACATGCTTGAGGTATTCGGCCAATCACAATACACTGGATAGCTGGCCAATCAGAGCACACCTCGGTTTTCAGACCGATGAGCTTTGTAAAAATCGACGCGTTTCAGAAAGGCAGGGCATAGAGGAGAAACAATAATGTACAGTTTGTGGAAAATAATGTGTTTTTTGAACCTTAAACCACATAAACACATTTCATTACACCAAATACACCAAATAATGTTCTTTTTAGCAGCATCATATGACCCCTTTAAATTACACTGACATAACTGTTGATCACATTTTAAATGCTGAGCATTTGCCTTGCAATCACCATAATAGTAATACAATTTCTAATAGTAATAAAATGTAAGCAACAGTTCACTATAATTGCATATGTGAATAAGTGCTTTGATTAGCGATGCAACCATGACATCATCTTTGAATGCTCTGAACTTTTCCATGACATCAGCGGCAGAAGAAAAGGGTAAGTGAGAGGAGTGAGAGGGGGTGGAGGAGCGTGTTTCTACTGATAGAGGGACAATAAAGTCAAAGGAAATGGGAGGACACAGTGGAATGGGAGAGAAAAGAGATGGAGGGATGGAAAGAGTCATCCAAACACTCACCATGGTCCAGGACGATGTCTCCAGCCCAGCCTTCAGACACACCGTGATCACCACAAACTGTGAGAGAGACAGGTTCTTATCTGAGGTCGCATGTACACATAAACACATTCGATTGTACAGACGTAAGATCTAATGGGAGACAGTCGGCAGACAGGAACCTCCAAACAGTTTCTGTTTGAAGTACAGTTTGAAATAGAGCAGGTCAGCTTCATTTTCATTTCAGTGCTTAAAAAGTTGGCAAAAAAAGGGAGCGAAAATCCTCAGTGAGGCCAGACTCGGCACAGAAGGAACATTTCACAGCAGGACAACCGGGACAAAGTGTCAGGCGACGGGGAGGACACAGAGACGCTTTGTGAGGATCTGAGGGCCCAAATGCACTTACTGTATAAACCATGTTGCCTAAGAGGAGATAGTCTGGTGTCTTTCCGTTTCCAAAGACAGTATCTGTGAGGAGAATCAACAAGAAGGCTTTTAGAGTGAAGGATCACATGCGAACACAGGTCAGTGGGACGGTTGTAGACACTCCATTAAGATGTTGAGCTCAAGAGGGATCAAATGCTCACATTAAACAGACAAGAATACCAGAAAAGTACTGTTTACATACATGATGGCAAAACGCAGTCTCACTGAAAAAATGACCATTTAGACAACTTGATATATGCTTTTGACTCAAGATATTTAAATTCAGGATATATAACATCTGCAACTTTGATTTTGTTTTTATTAGAGGAACAACATTGGGTATTACATCCAAAATATTTCTCCACAAATGCTGTTGACAGAGCTGATAAAAAAATAAAAATAAAAAAAAAGTAAAAAGTGTTTAAAACATTCTCTAGGCTGTCCTGTTAGGGACAGAACATGGATTAGTGGAGCTGTGGTGCTCATGTGGGTTATGCAAGTTTGAATCTGACCTCTTTACGGATTTCTACCTTTTCTCCCCATTTCCCATCCTCAAAGTGGAAAAAGGACAAAAAGCTTTTATGCTTGTTTAATCTGAACCAACAAGCTTGTAATGAACTTATTGTCCTCTTATAACACACCTGTGCTCCAATGGTCATGTGAATAAAAGGTAACAGTGGGTGCAAAAGGAGCTGCTGACAGGTGTACAGTGATCTTTGGAAAAGAGATCTCCGCAAATCATTAAGGATTAATTGACCGTTGAGACAATCTGGGTTTTCTTGACTTTTCAGGATGATAGCTATTGGCTTGTGCTAATTGCTTCAGCAAACATCTCCGATTAAATAGTACAAGTTCTGGCTTAAAATCTGGGAAAGCCACATACAAAAGTGCACACATGGCAGTGTGGTTTAGTGGAGGAGTATTAGTCATTCTCCGATTGTAAGTGAGAGCGGATGATCCAAAACCATCAGCGCTCTGGCACGGTGAAACACAACGGACACCACACGTGGATCAGGAAGGTATGTGTGTTTCAGTGTGTGTGTGGTGCTGACAGGCTGTCAGTCAGAGAGTCACCAGTGCTTTGTTTAAAAAGCAGGTCTGATTCTGACTGTGTGGTCCTGCAGTCAGCCAGATATTTGTGCTGACACACACACACGAAATCTGTTCACATGCTTGACACAATCCTTTGTACATGCTTACACTTACGAAAACATGTAAAGAGCAACTTATAGACCACAGAGCAATTTATTAAACTATACCAAAATGTTAACCTAAGAATGAAAATTGTGTCATTATTTAGTGTCAAGCTACAAAAAACACTATGGAAGTGTAGATCTGTTGATAGATTTGCGTGAGGAAAAGCCTAAAATTTAAGTCGTTATTGTCTAAAATTTATTTGAACATTTATTGACTAAGAAAAAGTGACTTGTGAATCATTTTGAGCTCAATCTTTATAATTCAGTGGATCACGTTCACAAAACCTGTATGAACGATTCATTCATAAAGTTTACCTCACTAAATCCAAATAATCCATTTACAAAGATCATCAGCGAACCATTAAATTAATTAAATATTAAATTAAAATTAGGCCCATTTCGTCACACAAAGAAATCATATGACTTAAGACTTAGTACACAAGATTTTTTTATGCTTTTATAGTGCAACTGTATATCTTTTGAAGCTTGGCAGCCACAGTCCTCATTCGCTTTCATTACAGTATATTAAAAGTAAAAAGGATATTTTTCAAAACTACTGCTTTTGTGTTTAATGGAAAAAACTCATATAGGATTGGAACGGCATGATAAATGATGACAATTTTCACTTTTGCATGAACTATTGCTTTAAATGAGTATGTGGAAATGGAAAAAAGGAGAGAATGTGTGTGCACGTGTGTGTATATGAGCGAGTGATCTTCAGATATTCATGGTGGCCAATGAGAAGCAATTAAACTGAAGCGAGAGCAGACCCGTCTTTCAATATGACACCCACTGACCTCAAAAAACAAAACTGAACGCAGTGTGAGAGAGCGTGTGTATGTGTGCTTACCGTGCTGGAAGGCCTTGAGGGGAAACCAGAAGAGGATGACTGAGTGAAATAGGCCGTTCAGACAATGAGCCCAGAAGACCTGCAGGAGAGTGGAGGAGGGGTGGAGGAAAAAAAGAGAGAGAGGCATGAGAAAGACAGTGGCCACCATAACCCTGCCGGTGACCCCTGACCCCAGGCCTTTGTGCGTTCTCAGCGCTAGGCTAAGTGGAAGGTTTGTCAGGCCTCCCTGCTCAATGGCCACCCCGCTGACAGACACTTTGTATATCCTGTGAGTGAGGAGAGAGCAAGAAAGAGGGAGAGGGGAGGCACGCCAACTATATGAGAGATGTCAGTAAGGGGTGTTTTTCCGCCATCCCTTCTCTTTTCCCTGCAGTTAGTTGCCTCATCGAATTTCCCCAATCGTTCCTTTGTGAGTTGTGAAAAAACCCCAAATCCTTCATGGATACTTTTAGTACAAACACAGACAAGTTTAAGAAATTAAGATGTATGAGTCTGTCGCTACAGTGCATGGTTATTTGGGAGCATGGAAAAACTATCGCTTACACAGGTACGGAATAAAGACTTTGAGTGTCTGTGACTGTATACATGGGCATGTGGACTTTGGATGTGCCATTTAAACAAATATCCTCCTCCAAAACCGCCTTGTTTTGAATTTACATTATGCATGGACGTGGCCAATCAAAACACTAATGGGCGATGTAGCATGAAACAGCCGTGAAATGAAATCAGGCCCGTCACAGGTCCAGTTTCCAAACCCCGCTTTTTTTTGGTGTTGCTCTTTTCACCTCTGCAAAGTCTAAGACCGTTCACTGCCCACAGACACAACAGATTATTTCCATATTTATAAGTAAAACAGCATAATATTTGTGCTGAGAGGCAGTCAACAGTATTAAAAACAGTATTAAAATGTCAATTTTTTAAAATTGAACATTTTCAGAAAATGCTCAAAAATAGGGGAGCACAGTAAGTGGTTAATTCACTAAAATAAATAAATACAAATTTCTCCATATGAACAAATTTTATTAGAATGAACCATATTTGTAGAGTCTGCTAGAGAGGAACATTTTGTGAATGAATCATTCTTTTGAACTGGATATTTTTAATGAGTCATTCAATTTAAACGGATTCACAAAGTGCTTAAAGGAATGGATCACCACAGAAATGTAGTTGTCAGCTTCTAAGGTAATTTTTCTCAAAAACTGTTTTATTTCTATCAATAAGGATTTAATTGCAATAAATTCATATAACAGTTTCATGTGAGGAAAAATACTTAAATTCTTTATTCAATTATCAACACAATTTATTTTTTTAAATTACTGTAAGTGAGAAGCAGTTTTTAATAAAATGCATTTTACAACAAATGTTAAATGAAAAGTGCTGTGAACGTATGGGAACCCTTACAAGTCATGCAAATGAATAAATTATCACACCCACACTTCTGTTCAAAAGTTTGGGGTCAGTAATATTGTGAATTATTACAACAATTTAAAACTGTTTTCTATTTTAATATATTTTTTAAATGTCATTTATTCCCATTATTGCAAAACTGGAACTGAAACAGTTTTCCGTTTCACTTTTGATTCATTTAATGCATATTACCTGGATAAATGCATTTTAAATAAATAAATAAAATAAAATAAATAAATCTTACAGACCCAAAAATGAATAACTTTCCAATGCTAGCATCTGACAGAAAGGGCTAGAATCTATCCATCTTTTTCCTACGCCCCATGATGTTTTTCGCAAATTATGGGAGTAACTTCTGTTTACACAGTAAACAATCAGCAAAAGGTTCGCTCTATGAACGCAATAAGCATTTTCAAAAACTGGGTATTATGAGGTGACATTACTTTACTCACCCACCTTCAACCATCGATCATTAAAAGGAAATTTAAAAGTGTAAAAGTATTAAATTACTTTCAACATACCATGAATAACTCCTAAAGATCCTGCTTCTATCCGCAGTAATATTACAGATTAGTAAAATATCATTATAGTAATACATGTCTATATTTCGTAACAATTACATTTTACAGCATCCATGTGAAAACAAACCTGGAAAGAGACATGAGGATTTGGGGAGAAACTTAGTGCATTCCATGGAAATATTCACGGTTTATCAATTGGGTAAATTGGGAGAGCAGACCGCAAATGCACAGTATATGTTGTCTTTTTCATTTACTTACAGCGGAATACAAAGGAAACATGAAAATAATCAGGAGGAAAAGACTGCAGCGGCTGAAAAGAGCTATTCCCCCTTAACGTTATTCCCCTGCCTTCTGAAAATAGAAAATGAATGAAAATGTACAGCCCATTCAGTCAAAATGATGGATAAGGATTATTTGTAGCACAATCTTATGATTTGAAATGATTTGTTGCAGTCTTTTTGAGAGGAACTTCCCCAAAACGGAAGTGCCTCCAATAATTTTAAATGCAGTAGGCTTGTTAGGAAAAAGGTGGATAAATGATCCTCAATCTGTAAATGTTGAATCACAAGTTTTTGTGGCAGCTATGAAATCTCTTGAGGGGGATGGGGTGCAGAGAAATGAGAGGAGAATGAGAGAGTGGGAGAAAAGAGGAATACCCTGATATTGTCTTGTTCTGTGTTGTTTCACAGAGGCCCTGTACGACCTCTCGGCATCTCTGCCCTGACCCTCTCACCTCCGCTATCGGCAAAGCAAAACAAAGCTCAGGGCTCCGGCCCTCAGACAGCCAGCTCATCCTACACCTCTGAAGGGCACTATAGCTCACCCCTCCTAATCTTTGGAATTAAATTCATACTTAAGGTTTGGGGTTTATTCAAATATATAAGCCTAAGCATTCAAAAATTGTGCACAAGTATTACATTTTTAAAAGTTTTCAAAATTTTCATAACACATCCCGCACTAAGCTATGGACATGAATCCATTCTACAGTGATTTGACTTGAGATTTTTACATAGTAGGCAATAAAACGCAACCACCTAAAACACAACATGATCCAAGTGCCATGTGAAACAACCTGCTCTCACCCTCGCCTGGTGCTTTACACGCACAGTCCTGTAATGAATGCTAATGAAATCGATAAATGTTCAAAATCATTTGTCACAGGGAGGCCCTGAACTCCTCAGTTTCTAAGCAGGTTGCTAAGAATGTAGGTGTGAATGGCCGTCTGTCCTGCCTGAAGCAAAGCACTGCATTCTGTGTGACAGCTTAATTGCTTAAACTAGCATGAAAGGATAAACTTTATTTTGTGCCAACTATTGCCAGACGCTCTAATAAGCCTTCTCCAACTATGTTGGGCTACAAATAAAGCCAGAAAGGGAGAGAAAGAAAGAGAGAAAGAGGCAGAAGGAGGGAGGGATGGAGGCTGCCGTGTGTTGAATGAGTGCAATAACCGCTATCCTGGGGTCTATGAGAGGCTTTGTCGTTATTAGGGAGACTTTAGTGTCAAAGCTATGTAATTAAATGTGAAAGGGGACATGGTGGGTAAAGACCTAAATATTTCACTCTCTTTGCTTCTCCCCAATCTAATGCATGATCTTTCTCTCTGCTTTATTTACAAATAAAGTGTCTGTTCTGTACACAGATGACGTGTAGTAGTCTGAAACAGGGATGCGGCACATGTACAGCTGGTTTGATCATCAAATAAAAAGTCTCCAATAACATCTACATGAACACTTCAGATCACGTTAGAATCAGCCATGATTCAGCATACTTGTATTCCTATATAGGAACATATAATTTACATTAAACAATACTAAAATTAATGCAAATATCAGGATATTTAAGGAGTTGCACACAAATAGACTATTTTGGTAAATGAGTTATAACCAAGTCATAAGATCGTTTAAGGGTTCTGTGAATCAATTTAACCAATTCTTTAAAAAAAAACAAAAAAACATTCTGACTCAAAAGAATCTTGGGTTCACAAATTGGACAATGCTACAGTATGCAACAGATGCTCTCATTACCTTCCTCTATATATTCATTAACGTCTTTGTTCCAAGTAGGCATATGACGGTATGAAATTTTCAAGTTGTGATTAATTGCAAATGCTTTTATGACACAAATTGGACAATGCTACAGTATGCAACAGATGCTCTCATTACCTTCCTCTATATATTCATTAACGTCTTTGTTCCAAGTAGGCATATGATAGTATGAAATTTTCAAGTTGTGATTAATTGCAAATGCTTTTATGACAGTATACAGTATTATCACAGCATTAAAATTTAGTTGCAAAAAGGTTTAATACCTTTTTCTTATAACAAAAAGAACTGAACATTTACATACAATAAAGTAATACACTAAAAATGTATACATTTTAACATTTCATATAAAGACCAATAAGTAACACTTTACAATGTTATCTCATTAGTTAACCTTAGTTAATGCATTAATAATTAATAATGAGCAATAGCTACATTTGCTAGTTAATAATCTTTGTTAAAAAATACAACTGTTAGTTCATTAAATAACAGTTGCACCTTTTGATTTTAACAACGTGTTATTAAATATTGAAATGACCTAAGAAACCTTTTCATTGGCAGTTTATTTTAACTAATGAATTAACTCATGTTAATTAATAGAGCCTTAATGTAGCCTAAAGTGTGGGTCAAATATGGACCTACCCAACTTTTGGATTAAAAATTTTATGTACAAATTTAACCCAACGGTTGGGTTAGTCCATATTTGACCCAAAGTTGGGTTGAAACAACCCAGCATTTTTTTTTAGAGTGTGTGACCAAACAATAAAGAATCAAAACATTTTGAAACAATATCTAGGGCATGTTTGTGTTATTAAATATTGAAATGACCTAAGAAACCTTTTCATTGGCAGTTTATGTTAACTAATGAATTAACTCATGTTAATTAATAGAGCCTTAATGTAGCCTAAAGTGTGGGTCAAATATGGACCTACCCAACTTTTGGATTAAAAATTTTATGTACAAATTTAACCCAACGGTTGGGTTAGTCCATATTTGACCCAAAGTTGGGTTGAAACAACCCAGCATTTTTTTTTAGAGTGTGTGACCAAACAATAAAGAATCAAAACATTTTGAAACAATATCTAGGGCATGTTGTAGTCCAGATTCAA